CCATTCAGGAAAACTGTCGGCGGAGAGAGCAAGAGGGCTTCAGTGGTTTATAGCGCTGTAGTTGGGATTTGAAGGAAATTCCTACCGCGTCTAGCTACTGTGAGAGGAAGTATGAAGTAAGTACAGTTATCATGAATCGATAATAATGTCTTTTTCGAGTTAAAAAGGAGTACGGATAAGTTGATCCGATCACTGTCACCTTGTGCTACTCTTTGTGTTTGCGTGTCTGTGTGAGTTTCTGAGTGGGGGAAAGAAAAGCCAAGACACAGAACAAGAAAAAAGAAACAAGGGAGAAAGCCCATGTGAGCAATCCTTAGAATCTATTACCAGTACTACTACAATGCTGAGCAAATAATTTAGTGGGATTTATGAGAGTTTCTTGGTTGTTCCCTGGCCAGAGTACCCTGATCCCTCGTGCACTAACCCTTATCTGTCGCTCTCTTTCTCCCTCTCCCTCTCTCCTATAATTCAAAACGAAGGGAAAGAAACCTATATTTAATCCATAATAAATACACCCCGCTTCAGTTTGAACTCTGTATACATTGATTCCCTTGTTGTTCTGTGTCTTCATTGGATCTTGGTTCTCTTTCCTTTCTCCTAAAGGTACTTCTTCTCCTGCTACTATCCCAATGTTTTCCTTAAAGTTTGTTGAATTTTTATTGGTCTGTGTTTAGTGGGTCATCGTGGAAATCAACTTCGTCATTGCTATGTGTATTGTACCTTTCTTGAACGAGCAGTGTTGGCCATAAGCATTGCATCTTTATTTTTTTGTAGTTGAATTATGCACTGGGAATTTGCTGCTTCTTCCGGTGTCAAGTCCTTTGCGTCTCACTTTGACAATTCAATTAGCATGTTCTTGCCAATTTTAATTGCTTTGGTGCTGTTACTGTATTGATTGTATATTCTATTTGATGTTGTAGGGGGCTTACTCTGAGGAGCTTGTTTTGACCGGGAGAGGGATTGGAGGAAGCATATTTATCACCAAGTCAGCTTGGTAGTAGGGGAGTTACAATCGAATTACTGAAGTAGTGTCTCGTCTGTGCATTTCTGAGCAAATTTGGGGCAGTTCGTTTAGTGGTCTCAAGATTATGGTGTTAAGAAAACAGGGTCAATGAAAGTTACAAGTAGGAGTTGACTATTTGAGTGATGAGTTTTGGCAAATCGTTGATGAAGAGTCAATTGTGAGCTTTGCCACTGTAATTTTTCATGGATCACATGTTTTTTATGTATGGGGACTTTGAAGATGATATTGAGTGTTGTAGAGTTGTGAATGAAGAAGCAATTCCTGTACCTAATTCAAGTGCTAGACTAGAAAATCCTTTTCCAGCAAAGCTTTCTACTGGTTTTGATTTGTCAGTCAAGGGAGGAAAAGTGGATAATTTGGGCAGTGTTCCTAAATATGGGGATGTGGTATGTCGGGAGGAGGAAGTGAAGATAGAGATAGACAACAAGGTGGTTGGAGTGGTGGCTGAAGACCCAGTGGAGAAGTGTAAATCAGTGAGTGCTAAGAAGCCTCCAAAACCTCCCCGGCCTCCCAGAGGATTGTCACTGGATGCTGCTGATCAAAAGCTGATCAGAGAGTTAGCTGAACTTGCTGCTATCAAACGCGCAAAGATTGAGCGGATTAAGGCACTAAGGAAAATGAAAGCTGCAAAAGCATCACCATCTTCTTCATCCTCTAGTGGAAGCTTATTTGCCATGCTGTGTACTGTTATCTTTTGTGTTGTTATTATATGCCAAGGTAATCTTCCCAAACTTGGATCCAGGACCGACAAATTTTCAGCATAATGTCTTAATGAGTGCCTTTGTTTGACTTATGTTCCAATATGGATGTTTAAGAGTGTTAACCTAATATAATAGTTTTCTGCATCTATGTATTTCTACATATTCTGATCTGTAAGTTAATTTTTCAGCTATTATCCAGTTAGAACTTCACAGCAGGCTACAGATTTCCTGTTACAAATGCTAGTGGTTCAGCAACCAGCATCAGCTTTACCCATAAGTTTGTTTGATCCAAATGATATTTGTTCCATTTACCTATTCCATTTTGCTTTTCGGCAGAGATGCCTGAATTGATTGTGTGATATTTGTTCACTTAATGAAGAATCCTTCTTCAGCAATGGTTTCTCCTTTTTTGGTTTTCATTTCTATTTTCCCGTGCTTGTTCTTTATATATGGATTGCTTTCTTTTCATGGATCTTAATATGAAAATGACAATTTAAAAGTACCTTTTCCATGTTCCAACCCTGTTACCATTTGTGGGAAGTGTGATTTTTTAAAAGCATCAGCAGATATACATGCGTGCAAGTTTGAGATGTCTATTGAAAACTTTCAAGTTCCTTGTATAATTTTGTTCCCTCATCCTAACCATTTAGAAGGGGACATTCTACAATACTTTCTCCTGGATGGATTTGCTGTTTGTCAATCATTCGTGAACTTGATATAGGCTAATTCTTGGCACTTGAAGATTCTATTCCCTCTCATCCATATCCACAAAGCTATGCACTGCACTTGTACCCTAAAATACTCTTGGCTTGGGATTTATGTTTTTGGTGATTTGATGCTACCAGGGATATACAAGTATGTAGGTAGAGAAAAATCTGGACTTGACATGCTTGAGATTAGTATCTTGCTCAATTATCTTACTGCAAGGCAGGAACAGTCAAGAAGTTAATATTGTGTTGGCAGGAATGTCGTCCAGAAATAACGCAGCTGTAATTCCAGCTGGACCAAGGGATGGTAGATTCATTGCAGTTCAGGACCCCGTGAATCTCTCTGCCGTTGCAAAAAATTCGGTGCATTCTGAACCTCCCAAGTAGGTGATTTCTGACTTTGCGTTTACTTTCTCTCGAGTAGTTGACGAATCTACGTAGCTCGAAACTCCTTATGATGTGATGAAGTGAATTTGAGCTTTCATTTTTATGCTCGTTTGCAGTATAGAGGAACATGCTTCTGGTTTAGATACTGGGAATTCTGGGAAGAGAGCTATTGGTGAACGAAAGCTGGCTGAGAAGTAGAGGGTTTTTGATGCAAGTACATGAACGAATAATGGACATTGCACAAAGGGTACTGTAAATACCAGACACATCAAACATCATCATCTGTGTTAAGGCTACTCCAACCTTTAAAATGGTTTTCATGGGCTTTACTTTTCTGAAATCTTGTTAAACTACGAAAAGCATCCGGTCGAAAGCCACGTATGAGCAGCATATACGTGATAAATGGCAGGACTATGGCGTCAGTGAGAGTAGCATATTTTTTTTTGCAGAATTTGGTGTTAATAATGACTCTAGTAGCGCATCATGCCTGCTTATGTAGCGGGCATCCTTGAACGTAAATGAAAAGAATAAGACCCCTCCTTCCTGTTGCTTCATATCTGGATGGTATCTCAACTTGCGTGCATGCATTCTCAATTCTGCTGTGCTTGTGATGCTTTAATAGTTCTTTGGTTTTAGCTGATGATATGATAAATGGGGACTGACTTTTCATTTGAATGCCTTGCGTGACAATCTTTGATTTGTTGATTAGCATATGGATTTTTTTTTTGTTTCCTGGTGGGTGTTCTACTAAAGCCTTCTTTAAACAGTTTTGCAATGGAGTACTACTTGTTTCAAGTTCCCGCTCTCGTGCAGGTTCAAAACTTCAAATTAATAGTAGTATTGGGCTATGTGAGTTCATGTGATCAGATCCAGAAAATAAGTAGCTACCGGCTTCTGTTCTCTGGCATCGTCTGGGATCTAAATATCTCGAGTTGTTTTGGCTTTTATTGGATCATAGAAAAAAAATTTCAGGCTCCCAGCCGGCTTCTCTCAACATCCAAAGACCGAGAGAAATGCCTTAAACCATCAGACTCTACAACATAACATCCATGGAAGCTATCGTAAGAGAGAGAGAGAAGAAAAAACATCATGTTTCCATGCGCATGCGAGTCTTTTTTTTTTTTTTGGGTTTTAAATACATGTCTAAGGATTGGGGAACAACAGTTGACGATGTTGTAAAAGCCAACAAGTCTTCCAATTGTCACACTCACATCCTTGTGCATTTTAAGGTCTCATTATTGTCACCGTCTCTGCCTATAACCATCCATCAAGATTTTTTTTTTTTTTTTGGTAAAAAAAAAAGGTAGAGAAATCCACTCCAAGCCCCAACCCTTATTTGAATTGTTAAATTTTTTTCATTTTTATGACAGAAATCAAACTCTCGTGAATGCCCTGACTAGAGACTACACCACCAAGTCGGCGACCGGAGGATCATCCATCAAGATTCAAGAATGGCCACATTGCGTTGTTGTGCGAGCGTTCAGCTCCACGGGACTAGAGAATGTTTCAAAACGTTTGGACGGTGAGCTTTTTAAACATTTGTATAAAACTTTATTACAATTCACTATAAAAGTTGTATGAAAATTTTTGTGAAGACATTAAAAAACTTCATTGTTTTTCTTTTTCTTTCCTCTCTTTTTCTTCCTCCTCTCATCACTACCATTATTCCAAACACCGCCAACCAACCAGCACCTTCTTCTTTTTTCTTTTTTTTTCCCTCTCTCCTCCCCTTCTTTCTCCTGCTCCTCTTCCACCCTCCTCCCTCTCACTCACCCGCCCCCTTCCCCCTCCCGCTCCCCCTTTTCCCTTGATTGCGCCGATCAAGGGGGGAGGGGAAGGAGGAGAGGGACAGAGAGGAGGTAGAGGGGAAGTGGGGAAAGAGGAGCAGGAGGGGGAGGAGAGAGGGAGGGAGGGAAAAAGGATAGGAAAAGGCGGAGAGCGAAAGGGGGAAAAGAAAAGAAAAAAAGGCAGAGGAGCCGCCGCCAACTACCGATGGTGGTGGGGGTTGAGATGGGGTGGGAAGAAGAAGAAATGAGAAAGAAGGAAATTTATATTTTGGATATTTTGAGATGTGTAAAATTTGAGTGAATTTTTTGAAATTTCTGTAACCTCTACAGTTTTTTAAAAACTTTACAAGGAAAACTCGCCAAAAAAAAGTGAGGTGCCAAACAGGACAAATTCTTGAAACAAATTTAAGCCTCGAATTCGGTATATATATTCTGGAAGAAAATGGAGAAGTCTCAGGCACCAATAGCTACAGCATATTTGTAAATTACATATTACAATCTCAGGCAAGGCAAGGGAAGGCAGAGAATCAGAGGACAGGCAAATCTATGACGATGACCAAAACAACTCTTTTTTTTTTTTTTTTGTGCTATCAACTATGTTACAGTAACGCGGTAACTTCCAGTTTTAATGTCACCTAGGCAGCAGAACTTTGAATATGTATGTCGTAGGACTGTGGGATTAAATATCAAGAACAAACAACAGAGACGGACCTCACAGCAGCATCCTGATGATTGATTTAGCTACAATGGAAAGATCGTAGACCTGTTTGTTCAGGTCAGTGAGCGGTGAGTTGGACTGCTTGAAACTATTCTCGCATCCTTGAACTTCTACAGCAGTGTCAGCCATGCCGTATTCGGCGAATTTGGGAACCCCTTTCCTCAAACCTTCAATTGCTTCTGGAATATCCGCTTTTAGGATTGCATTGTATGAGATGCTGCACTTGATCAAGGGACGGATGAATTCTGGATTAGAGCCTTTAAGCCTGTTGATGGCATTCACCGCGGAGGTTGCCTTATCTTTGAGTGCGTCAACTATGATGAGGCCCAGACCATAAGTATCTGCGTCGAAGCTTCGAGGATCGGACAGTAGAGTTGAGAAGCAAAGTTGATAGTCAGGGGTGTTCCTGCAGGTATTCTCTATCAGGTCATTAACTTTCTCCCTTACCATGAAAATATGATGGTTGCTTTTCTTTAGGGGTGGCAATGCATAACTTGTGCTCAGCGATGGAAGGATTGCAAGAACTATGCAAGAAAAAGCAAAACTCTTCATTTCTTTTTTTTTTTTTACTATTATCTACATATATGTATAGCGACTAAAGGGATCAAAAGATAATTGGAGATTAATAACAATGAAGGAGGAATAATTTTTTTGCGTGGTTGGAAGGATTGATCGGAGATGGCACGGCCGGGAGAAAGCATTAGATGTTCATGTCTATATAGCCTGAAGCTCAGTCGTCGTAAGTGCTATAAAGCTGGCTATTATTATATTATTATTTGCAACAGTGGCGGGAATAAAGTAAAGTAAAACCTACCAGTCAGGTGAAGTGGGCTTCATTCACTGTTGATAAGAAGATGCTGACATCTTTTCCTTTCTTTTATAATTTCTAGCATCAGTTTTCTTTCGTTTTTTGTTTGCCCAAAGCACATTTTTCCAATTTTCCTCTCCTCAATTTTCCAATTGCCGGCAAAGTAAGACCTGCATGACATGATGATATAGTAGTAGATAAGCTATCATTTCATGATTCATCGATCACCCCAAATAAAATCTTAGAAAATGAACAATCACCATTAACTTCGAAAAGATGAGCCATCATCATTCATCAGATGCTTCGAGAGGATTTTTGTTTGTTGTGTACAGGTCACATCTCACCTCCGACTTTCTTTACTTTTTATTAGTTGGATTTGTGATTGGATAATGCATTTGGGCCCAAAACCCACTACTGCTGCCGGCGCTGCTTTCCATCCGCTCCCTATAGCCCACAGAAGTGATGGTATCGGTCTTTGATCTCTCCCCGCACCACAAGTCTCTAGCCTGTTTTCCTCCTTTTTGGAGTCTCGAGATAATTGCCCCATCATATTACCTTTTTTTTTTTTTTTTTTTTCTGGGTTTGAAATAGAGCATGTTGTAACTTGTACGCATCTGCTCCTTTGAAGAACACTTAAACTTTTTTTCATGTGAAATATTAAATTGTACAGGACAATATAAACGAAGTAGTTTTACAGGCAAAGTCTATAAATTGGATCTGTTTAGAAGAATTCAAATATGTTTTAACTAAATTTAGGGTGCGTTTGATGAAATTGAAATTTGAATATATTAAATTACAATATTGTTAACTACTAATTTGATACATTTGAATATATATCGCATTGAGTGGCGATGAGTGAATAATTTATCACTTATTTTTTGGAGCAAGTTTTGTCTAAGAAATTCAATGCCACTTAATTAATTCAAATATTTTTTTTCCGATTATCAAAAACGCGTTAAGATACATGTTCAAATTTGGATTCATCTATTAAATTTAAGTGATGGATTAGGTTATCAAACAAAGCCATATAGTGACAATTCTCTGTTGTTAAAAAAAAAAATTTTTGTCTGCAAAAAGGACTTGTAATGACAATCGATGAGCTTGTCTTACAACAGAAACCTCGAAAACACAAAAAGGGGTAACGTGAGATAAGGCGATGAGAACAAAGTCATTCATGGAAGATATTAAACAAATCAGCACTAACTGTTATGGATAAACTGCAATTCCTCTCTGCTTTAGCCTTTAGCTACAATCTGTGGTAAAGCTTTGAGTGCTGACGAAAGGATAAATTTATCAATAATGAATCTCTCTTTTTTCTAGTTTTAAGCTAAGCTAATAGTGGAGGCAGAGTTGTTGCCGTAACAATAATAATTGCAATGGGCTGTGACTTTTATATACAGTATCGCACGCAACAAACAAAAACATGTTTGCATTGGTCCTTTGTCATTCTTCTTCTTGCTCTTCCCTTTATCATCTTCGTGTCTTGGTTATGTCACAATAAATTCCATCAAACATGAGGGCGACTCATGCAATTTCCTCCAAAACTCTTCCTTGCGCCATTCTCGCGCTTGCCATTTTCGTGCCCCTGAGCTCATGTGATCTGATCCACAGCACATGCAGAAAGACCCCAAATTTCCAACTCTGTGCTTCCATTCTAAGATCAAATCCTAACAGCGGTAGCGCTGATGTTAGGGGCCTTGGCCTCATAATGGTTGGTTCGCTCGAGTCTAAGGCAACTTCTGCTTTGCACACAATTAGGCAGCTTCTCAGGACCAAACCACACTTGAAAATCCCTTTGATTGAGTGCAGCAAAAAGTATAGCTTTATTCTAAAATATGACGTTACCGAAGCTTATGAGGCTTTGAGGTTGGGAGATCCTAAATTCGGGGAAGAGAGCATGAACGATTCTGCTATGGTAGCTCAAGAATGTGAAGATTGTTTCAAACGATTCCCCTGCCCAATTACGAGTGTTAATAAAGATGCTCATGATATTTCTGCTGTGGCTGCAGCCATAATCAGGTTGTTGCTCTAGAATCTAGACATATGGTACTGAGAAATCAATAGTTTTGCTGTAAGATTTCTGAATGCTGTCTGAGTATGTGTCGTAGAGCTTCATGCCCTAAATGGGTATCTAGAGTAACAACAACCTAAATGGGTACTTGGAAACTAATTTCTTTTTCTTTTTTTTTTTCTGTAAAATTTTTGACAGCTGCCCAGATTGTCAAGCATATTTTGTAAGACTTCATGCCTAAGATTGAAAAGATGATGATATATAATTACGGACGACCGAGACTCGGTTTCTTGTCGTAATATTACAAAAACGATTAGTTTGCCTTTGCAGTTCTTAATGTCGATGGAACGAGTGGTTGCTCCAACTTGCGATTGAATTTTCTTTTTCTGTGACAAGGCACTTGTGATTAAATCCACGGGATTTTCATTTTTGGTGCAAATATTAAGGATTCAGAAGAGGTAGAAAATGTAGCATATTTTGTTTCTTGAAGGCCTGTAACTTGTCATCGGCTAATAAGACTTCGAAATTTCCAATAAGCCAAAATGGAGAAATTTTGGTTTGATGCATTGATGTCGAGAGCAACATGCCCTCCATCCTCTCTTCCAACGAGCCAACTTCTGGCAATAAGGGAGATTGACATGGCATCTCTAAACGGGGCATTACATTATAGCTCAGAAATCAAGTTTGGCAATAAGGGAGAGCAAAAAGAACAATTTAGGAAACAAACAGCAGAGCATTAATTTTCTCTTATGGACCTCAAGGCAAGATTGCGAAAACTAAAACCAACTTTGCCTTTGGCTTATATAAGATGAGGCATATTTGCCTTAGTCCATGTCTAATTTTTTCTTTCTCCTGCTATCACCTTCTTGTCTTGCTTAAAATCCACAAACACATTGATTCACTACCAAAGATGAGGGTTTTGGTCTCTCCGAAATTTTTCCCATACAACATCGTTGTTCTTGCCATTCTCGTACCATTCACAGTTCATGCGATCTCATCGATGACACCTGCAAAAAGACCCCAAATTACCAACTCTGTGTTTCCATTTTAAGATCAGACCCTAAAGCCCCCGGTGCTGGTGTTTCCGGGCTTGCCCTCGTTGTAGTTAATTCCCTCAAGTCTAAGTCAACTTCTGCACTGCAAACTATTGAGCAGCTTTTGAAGTTCCCTTAGCAGAGTGCAGCTTTAAGTATGATTTTATCATAAAATATGATGTTACTAAAGCTGTTGAGGCATTGACTAAAGGAGATCCAAAGTTTGCCGAAGAAAGCGTGAATGATTCCGCTAAAGTGGCTCAAGAATGTGAAGATGGTTTCAAACCGTCCCCCTCCCCGCTTGCCGATGTTAACACACGGCTGCTCATGAAATTTCTGTCGTGGCCGAAGCTATAATCAGGTTGTTGCTTTAGCGCAAATGACAGCTTCGCTATAATTGTTTGGATGGTGAATCAACAATTAGTAATCCATCAGCCGTTTTCTGGCCTAAAGATTAAGGGATTTATATTTTAGTTATATCTGTCACAAAAATTATTTGCTTTTCTGTGTGTGTGTAATATATAATTGGACCGGGCAACGGCTGCTCTGATTAATTAGCATTAACGTCATCTGAGAATACGGCAAATCAATAATATAATGATTTTGGTATGAAAACACAAAACAGTTACTACTTTTCTTCTTTTAATCCTTGGGACGGCATTGGGTTTGAAGTTTTTAATCCCTATTCCACAGTACCTGGGCTTTTAACAGGGATGGGGTCCTCAGGACATTTCCAACCTAATTCCAGGACCTTAATCAGTTCATGCCTTTTGAATATCAAGCCAGGAAAGAGTGGGTTTACACCTGCAACCCATCACCAAAACACAGATAGACGATCCTATCCTTCATAGGTTTTAGCTCAATTGTACATTCCAGTCACAGCCAATAAAGAATTTGTGACTCGGTTTATTATACAAAGTCAGTCTGCTGGCATGTGGATGATATTAAGTCCCGGGCTTGGTCCAGTGACTGACATGGGATTGCTGAAGAAGGGAATTGGTCCCTGATTCGAGTCTCGTGGCCTCTGCAAGTTGCGAGTTGCGAGGTAGGGGAATTAATCTGCGAAATCCACTCTTCATGGACACTTTTAAAAGAAAAAAAAAAAAAAAAAAAGGGTAGGCAGGGTAATTTTGCTTCAATTTCCTCCTTTTCTTTTCAGGCGGCATTACTTACAACAAATCCAACAACTGGCAATGATGCGTCATCAGTTCGAAAGAAAATTACCTCAACCTTTTATAACAACATCATAGATTTCCACATCATTAGCCTATATAATCTAGCTGGCAACTGACGTCCACATTTCGATAGGTATGTATGACAAAGTGTCAGTTTTTCTAACACTCCATACAAATAAATTTAGCACTTTGATCATCAACCTATCTCCAAGGGTCCTTCGAATAAAATTAAAAAAAAAAAACTATTTCCAAGGGGAAAAGTCTTAAATTCAATCCCGGGAGGCAAATTAAGTCGGTCTGATTAGAGAAAAATTTTTTTTTGTTATCGTCACATGAACTATATTATCCTATTCTATCTTAATCTAAGAAAGAAAACCAACGGAGCCTATGAAAAATCGATCGTCAACCTATCTCCAAGACTTAAATTCAATCTCAGGAGGCAAATTATACAGCAATCCATCATGTAGATGAAAATAAAAAAACCCAGTAATATTTGGGCGCTGATAAATACTAAAAAAGATTTTACTTCTAATTAAATATTCAAAGCATTAAACGATTTTACTACTAATTAAAGCAAAAAAGGGATTTTTTTTTTTTTTAAAAGAAAAGAGACGAATTGTGACAGCAGGCATAGGAGGTACCCGGAGAGACAAACCAATGGTAAATGATACAATTGCGGCAGGGGGTATTAATGATCTGATGAAGATCATTTACATTATTGACTTCCTGAACAATATATTATCTTACATTACTTCTTTTTATTTTTCTTTTTTGAAATGATGGAAGATGAATCCGGCCTACATCAGCACTTCATCGGTTGAGTTGTGAACACGTATTTTTCTTACGGTATTCATCACCAGATTTATCTCCATGATGTATGAACTCTTCTCTGACTTCTTCAATCGTCACAGCAAGCTGGTGGTTTTGATCAAAGTTTGATTGAGATATTGATTTTCTAAGAGAAGTGTCATCATCATGATCCCTGTTCAAAATAGGATGCATAGACTAAGCACTGTACCATGCTTTGGACAGTATACTCATCTGTGCTGCTGCTTCTTTAGTGAAGAAAGACAGAAGTTGTTGAATGATGGATTCTGGTTGTTGCCTTTCTTCTTTTTTTTTCTCTGTGCAAGCCATGAGTTTTCATGTCTTGTGACCTTTTTGGGGCATAACGATGAAGATGGTGAAAGAGAAACTGAGTTGTTTTATAGGATTCCATGATCGAGGATAAAATATCTTCTGCAGCACCTACACTGCTACATTAGACTTTGTCAGCAAGGTTCGTGTATTTTCCACGGAGAGAGAGAGAGAGAGTAGGTAAATTAGAGGAAATCTTGAGCCTTGATGTCCAGTTCTTAGACGTCAATCATCATTTTTTTATTCATTGAATCCAACCATGTTCTAATTAACAGTATAGATTCTATGCAACATTATCCTGATTATGGACAGAGCCACAACAGACAGGTCATAAACGGCAGCGTTCACGTCAGCCAGTGGTGACTGCTCTAGTTTGTTCAAACTTGCTTCACACCCCTGAGCTTCTATAACAGCATCAGCCATCCCATGTTCAGCAAGTCTTGGGTTTTCTCTCATTGATCCCACAGCTTTTGGAACATCAATTCTGAGGATTACATAGTAGTTTTCTTGGCATTCCATTAGCGCATTTGCCAATGTTAGATTAGACCTTTTTAGCTCCTTGATGCTTTGCAACGTTGAGTTTGCCTTGTCTCTAACTGCCTCAACGGCGACCAGGGCCAGACCGGCAACATCTGCATCAAGACTCCGATTGTCTTTCCTCAGAATTTTAACACAAAGGCGATCATTTGGGGTTTGGTCACATGTTTCAGAGATGAGATCGCAAGAGATTAGTGGCGGAACAATGGTTAGAACAACTAGCGCATAAGGAAAAAGAAGCATGAAAGAAGTGAAACTTCTCATCCTGTTTATGAGAGAAAATTGTAGTTGGAAGACTGGAAGAGAATACTGTGCCAGGAAGATTGAGGCGTTTGATCTTATATACTGTAGTTGGTGGTTTTGACATTAATGGAGTTTGAAAAAGAAGGTAAGCAGTTCTTAGATGTTTTCTTGCATATCTTCTTAGTTATTTTGATTCTTAGTTCAAAGTTGGAAGATCTTGTTGAGAATTGAAGTACTAGCAGTGTTTTGAACTCGAGATCTTCTTGTCCTATAGCCATATGCAAACAGTTCAGCTTAGCAGAAGACTGGTCAAAAGACGAATCTCTATATAGTATTTAATAATGTCGGTTTACATTCTTAGGTGGTCCGCAACATTTTAGCGCAATTGTCTGTCATCTATAAATTTTGTTTTTCTTCACCCCCCAACCCCCAACCCCAAAATGCTGAAGGCATCATCTATGTTGATGAATATACCAAAAGTAGAGAAACCGAGAGAATCAACCAATTAATCAAGACTGCTGGGTAAAGAAGGTAAAAAAGCAATCCGGCACTAAGTACTATATTACTGTGATAACTCGGGTCGAATAGATGTCCTGAAAATTTGGTGGCCTGCAATTTGGTTTTTTTTTTTTTTTTTAAACTTCCAGCAGAAAAATTGAGCAGAAACAAAACATTTTATGTTGACGAGAGTATCCCTGTGGCTAATACAAATTCAAGTAAACTCCTAGGCCCTAGGTTATGTACAGTATTTCCTATGCTGTGTGAGCTTAAAAAACACGTAGAACGCCTGTACACACTTCGAACTAATATCTTGAGACAATGAATATTCATTCTTACAGCCTAAACCCCAGCACTGGGGAATTCTGCACTTCCATTGGTCGCCATCAATCCAGCAAACTCCTGAGGTAGTGAGTTTGTGCGAACTGGGATCTTTCGCTGGCTGTTATCTAAAATCCTCCAGCGAGCCCTCACTCCCTTACTTCCAGTATTGCACGTGACGCTTTTAGGTAGTTGAGATGCTTTGACAACTGACAGCTTCATCCTTCCGGGAGGAACACGATAACCATTGCTCATATTCTTCATAAAATCTTCATCGACAAAGTCTATGTCTATTACATCCCTCCTGCTGGGCTGCAAACCCCAATAAAAGACAACATTTGGTGCAGCCAGATCAACATCAACGTATTCTAAAGGGCTGGGATCGCAAAAGCCCTGTAATTCTTCCAGCTGTACAAGAAATGCAGCGTGTCAAATGAAAACAACCAACACACAATGAGAAGGCCTGAATTACATGAGCAAGCCTTGAAACAGGTAACAGGGGAGAAGCCATGATGATTATGTGGACATGTTAGGGATACAAAATAGAAAACAAGCTAAAAAGCCCCTGCTGAAAACAGAAGTACGGAAATAAAAAAGACAAACCACAACTCTACTGCATGATGATGCACAAGAACTTCAGCAATTGTTTATATCCTAGGAGATCTTTTACAATTAGTAAGAAAGGAAAGCACCAAGCTTTATTTTTCCTTACCCAACACCTGATGAATCAGTGTGCTTATTAAAGCTCTGACAGGATTCCTAGGCAGCAGCAAACTCCATAAATATCATGAGAAATAAAAGGACTACAGATGCCTATTCAAAAGCACTGCAAACATCTCAAGAAGGTCATAAAAATTTATTTATTTACTAGGAATTATAAATGACATATCAGAGATACGGCTTAGACTGTAAAAATCAACAGTTAGGGGATACAAAAATTCAACGTGAGTTTGAATGCCAGTTGACTGTGTCTTCACCTATAGATAAACTGGCCAAACTGAATCCCTCAGACCATTCGCTTAGAGCAAGTATTGGCAAATAATTGGCATGATTGCCTAGGTGCTTTCCAAGGAAGGCTGACAGACACATTAATCACCAAGCAGCTGAATGGATCAAAACGTAATAAGAGAATATCTCTAGTCTGTAGCACTCGATAAGCTTACATGTCAACTAGATACATAATATTGTGATTAGCAACATATAGGATAAACTTGTGTTCAACTTTACT